CTCCATCTCTTTTTTCTCTCCCCTGTCTTTTTCACTGTTTTCATCCTCCCTGGGCAAGAATGAAAGTGGGCAAGAGGATGGGAGAAGGAAATAGTTTGGTCTTATAGGTAGTCTTTGATATAAGACCATTTGTTTAGCAACCATTCAAAGTTCAGTGGCACTATAAAAAGTGACTTGTCGCTAGTCCCCACACTTATGACCATTGCCTCATGTCTGACGTCACATGATCGCACTTTGACGTATTTACGACAGTTGCAACATCCCGGTGTGGCATCACTATTTGTGATATTCCTAGCCAAGTTGGACAAAGTCAATGGTGAAGCCAAATCTGCATAACAACTGCAATGAAAAAAGGTTGTAAAATTGATCGGTCACACGATGGCTCACTTAAGACCTCATTGCTTAGTGACAGAAATTCTGATCACAATTGTAGTTATAAGTTGAAGACTATGGATAGTTAGAAAGCATCTTTCAACAGTAAGTAAATCCAAGAAGAAAGTTTTGTGAAGGAAGATAAAGGTGGAGAGCAGCAGAAAAAAACCATATATACTCAGGTTTTAAAGTGGGCAGAGTTTCTACTTAGTCAGTCCAGAAAACTGAGAGTTAGGGAGTTAAAAGAATGCTAAAATGAACTTTTACTCATGGCAAATGACACATTCCATAAAGCAAAGCCAGTTGCAGTGTAGGCCTCTGGCCTAGATGGAATTGGGAGTATCGATTTTTTTTTTAAAAAGTATCCACAAAATCTTTCTTGAAAATTTGAGAGTTTGTTAAAGAGCTGAAAACAAAAGAATTTTCAGTGAAGAAACATTTTTAACAAAACTGTTATACTAATCAGTATAAAATTCCATTTTGATTCATGCAAATGTTAGGGACTTCTGAGAGTGTTAACGATTTTTGAACTTTTTTTTAAAAAAAAAGGTAGCCAGTAACTTAGACCAAATTTTCTAATCCACATCAACTGGTACAGAATTACTCTGATCATCTTTTTCTCTCATTATATAAAATACTGTGACTTCTTTATTGACTGTCTTGCATTATTTATTTATTTGTAGATTTTTGTGGGTGACATGATGGCTCAGTGGTTAAAGATGCTGACAGCCCAGGTTCAAGACCTAAGCGCTACACAATGGATGATTGCTCGTCCTTGCTCCAGTTCCTGCCCACCTTAGTAGTTCAGGAGCATACAAATGCAAGGACATAAATAGGTGTACCACTTTGAGGGGAAGTCAACGGCATTCCCTGTGCCTTGCCATATAGTCATGCTGGCCCTATGACTACAGAAATGTCTTTGGAAAACACTGGCTCCCTCTGCTAAGAATTGGAGATGAGCATCGCCCCTTGAGTTGGACACAACTGGACAAGGGAAACCTTTACTTTTATTAGATATTTATCTTGCCTTTATTACTTTATAAGTAACTCAAAATGGTGAACGTACTTGGCACTCTTTCCTCCTTTTATTTTCCCCACAACAATAACTTTGTATAGGCTGAAAGAGACTGATTGGCTTAAAGTTATCCAACCAGTTTTTCATGCCTAAGTCAAGACTAGAACTCAGCCACCTGGTTTGGACCTTAAGCACTATACCAAACTTGGTTGTATGGCAACTTCTCTGGTAAGGCCTTAGCTACCAGTGTCTTATTATTCTTGTTCCCAGTTGGCATCAGCATATTTGATCACTGGGTCTCATTCCTTTACTGCATTTTACATATGATAATAACAAGAAGGATTTGAGGCAGTAATATATTAGTAATAAGAGTGGGAAGGTAATGACACTGTGAAGAATGCGGGACATGTTAATGAGATAAATAATTATTAACTTTTAGAAAACATTTTAGCTGGGCAATTAGGTTATCACAAAACATTGGCTTTTTTTGCTTTCATTTCTAGAAACTCAATATAACATTTAGCTCTTAATAATTCCTTTGCTGTGAGATCTTCCATAGGAAGTGCAGTCCATCCATACGTTTCTTCAGTAATTAGTTCTGATTATTTCTGAAGGTAAAAGATACATCATTGTTTATTTATTGAGCTGTGAATAGTAGCAGTCATTTGATCAATCCTAGTATATTCAGAAGGGAATGGAATAAGATTGTTCTGGAATTGTATTAAATTTACATTTCAAAGCTCATCTGATATTCCAGTATCACTATAAAGACTGAAATTTGCTTCTTTTTTGGATATGAATTTGGCAAGAATGTAGCCTTCAGCACCAAATATATACATGTGTTTGTGTGCTCATGTATGTATCTATGTGTACACATACATAATTTTCATGTAGAATTAAAAAAAAACTGGAAAGAGGATAAAAAAACTAATGAAGAAATATGCAAAACTAACCAGAGAAAAAACAGACAAGAAAATTGGTCTGCAAACCATAGAAAGACATTGAAGGATAAGCTACAAGTTATAGGTAGTGCTCAAGTTACTACCATTCATTTAATGGCCAAAATTAAAAGGCTTTGAAAAAAGTTACTTACAACTGGTACTCACATTTACAAGTAGCGCAGCAGTCCTGTGACTATAGTCACAGGATCAAAATTTGTTGGCATTTGACATGTATTTATGATCACTATTTGTAACCTTCCCACCCAGCTTCCAACAAGCAAAATCAATAGGGAAAGCCAGATTCGCTCAACAACCATGTTACTAACTTAACAACTGCAAGAGATTTGCTTAACAACCATAGCAAAAAAGTTCATAAAATTGGGTGTGACTCACTTAACAACTGCCTTATTTAACAGTGGAAATTCTGGTCCAAATTGTCATAAGTCAAGGACTACCTATAGTTTAAAATCTTGTTATTTCAAGGATAAAAGTTAGAATTTTGTCTTTCTTTTCACTCTGTTTTTTTAACTGTAGAGCAGCCTTGCTGAACCTAGTTCTCCCCAGATAGATTTAAATTCAGATGCCACAATCCTAAGGAACTAGCTGGGATTTGTGGAAAGAGAGAACAGCAGATCATTTATGTCTGTGGGGATGCTCAGTCATCCAGGTCATAGTTGTCTCAAAGGTGCTTTTTCAAAAGGCAACTGGACCAAAACTGATGAAGCTTCTTGGATGAGAAGCGAAAGGTCATCTTCCTCCACCTGGGAAAAACAGTCCAGTTGCCTTTTGAAAAAGCATCTTTGAGACACTAGATCACTTGAATTAGAGTAGGTATAGGAAGGCGAATAGGAACCAACATGCTGGCCAGAGCTTTTTAAGATTTGTGATGGATCACATTTTGGTAATGAAATACAGTCCCTGTAATAGGAGGGCAGAGGTTAAACTTTCTTTGTTATTATCCAGCTTTGGAATGCAGACTGCTTTGTGAGCGAAATCTTATCCCCTGACTTTATAAATCATCCAGAACATTTGAACTATTTTCACCTTAGGTTGTGTTTGAAACCTGTAACCCACTTTGATAATTTCACTTGGATGTAAAGGTGGGATATAAATCAAAACAATAAAGTATTTTTAATTCTTACATTAGATTATCTATCCCGTCTGTGTAGAGAAGAGACTAGGAAAGAAAATTTTCTGTTGTTTGTCTTTGCTATGCTCTCTCTGTCTTTAAGATTAATCTAAACAGTAGCAGTGGCCTAAATATATACAGTCTACAGCAACTTCCTATGGTTTTACTTTGCAACACTGATCATAATGACAATTTTTAATTGTATTTTACTATGAGGTTACCTACAAATTATATTATAAATAGCTTTTGTAAAAAAAAAAGACCTTTCAAGAGATGCCATTTTAACACATGTGTATTTTACAATTTAATTGCTCTATGAAAACAATAAAAATGTTCTTTTATAATTGCTGTAAGAATTACATTGGTGCAATATGAATGGTCCCTGCCCAGTTCCATCAGTTGGCTACTAATTAGTATATCTAAACCTTAACAAGAAACAAGAAATTCAAGAAATTCTCGTAGGTGAAATGTTGTGTTCTTGTTCTGAAATACTAAGAGTTCAAATGATGTATGTACAGGTAGTCCTTCCTTAGCAACCATTCAAATTTATAATGGATCCCCCAAAGGTACTTATGACCTGATTCTAAAGTTCTGGTGGCATAGGAACGCACTCACGCACACACACATTCACACACACACAAAATCACATGTACATATTATGGACACATAGCAACCGCCTTATCTTTATGCCCAGTTGCACCATTCCATGGTCACGTGACATGATTTACTATGGATTTTCTCGCAGGAAACTGGCTGAAAAGGATAGTTTCCAACAAAAAAAAAAAAAACCCACCCATAACAATGCACTGACTGGCTTAAGAATGCAGTGTTCACTTTATGGTCATAGTGTTACCTTAACTACCACCCCAAAAAAGGTTGGAAAATCAGGCTGATCACATAGGTGCCTTGACTTATGACCATCACGACTTAACGACAGAAATTCCAGGCTCTGTAAATGTTTTGTGTTTCTTCTTGTACTGTCATCCTAGCTTCTCACATTTCTATTAGATAAGGGCAAAACATTAGAAAGCATCTTCTCTAAGTGGGCATTTACTGATTGAAAAGTGTGGGCTGCCAAGGAGACTTGAGAGGGACAAAAAGAACTCTTAGTGGCAACAACATTAATACCCTCTAACATTTTCAAAAGTAAAGCTGAAAAGCATCACCAAAATAAATTCAAATAAAATGCTGAAGCGCTTTAAGAATAAGACAGAAAGACAAAATAAACTCCCAGCTTTTCACAGCAGAAAACTACTTGAGAATTTGAACTGACAATTGCAAGACAGTTTTAGGATAAACATTACAATTCTAGCAGCAGCAGGAATCATACACATTGTAGATTATTCCAAAGGAAGGCCAAGAGTATATATCCTAAGTTTTTCTGTGCCTTGGGATGAGTTCCTCTTGGGATGCCTTTGCCAGAAGAAGGAGGCACCCTTCTGATTGCCCTTTTCTGCACCAGTTCTTGTATACCTACTGTAGAAGCATGACTTGATTGTCCAGAACAGGGGAAGTGTGCAAACTTTATCTCCTTCCCTTACAGTTCCTGGGATCAGTTGCTGGCTCAAATGCCTTCCTTGAACAGGGAGCTTCTTCCATTTATGAGAGGGTTAGTTAATATTATTGTCTGCATGCATAAATGTTGCGTTATTTCAAAATGATTTAAAGTATAAAGCTTTTTTGGACTACTATTTACATTTGACTCTCCTGCTGTCTCTCTCTTTCCCTTTTTTCCAGCCAATGTTTTCAGTTGCACCAAGCCTAGCCACCAATGCTTCAACAGCCTTTAACCCCTATTTGGGGCCAGTTTCTCCTGGCTTGGTCCCAGCAGAGATCTTGCCAACAGCACCAATGCTGGTTGCAGGGAATCCTGGTGTGCCAGTTCCTGCTGCTGCTGCTGCAGCAGCACAGAAGCTAATGCGGACGGACAGATTGGAGGTAGGAAATAATTTGGATCCCAGTTATGGTTGTTTTGATCAGCCAGGTATGGCTCATTGGTTCTGTAAATGTAATCCTACTTGGGATATTTTGTGGAAGAAAGTGCTATTCGGAGAAAAGCCTTTGCCCATCAGCAGTATAATAATGTGATTATAACATATCAGCCTAATCTTGAAAAGGAACTAATGGATTTCAAACCCCACCAATTTCTGTACTTATCAAAACATTATTATTCCTAACAAGAACAACATTAAAAGCAAATAGATCTTCATCTGCAATAAACTAGGATTAGATTCACACAATGTGCTGAATTGGTTTATTGAACTAAACCATCTTCTGTGTTTGCACAATACTTTCAATTACAAGCTAACTAAACAACCTGGCTTCAAATACGATGGCTCACAAAAAATAATAGTAATAAGGTTAAAACTCAGCTCAGCATGTGGTGAAGATGCCAGGTCTTTAACTTGCCCAATAGAGCAAGTTGTATTGGATATTGGAGTCCAATGCAGAGCTGAATATGCTTAAGTCTTTGCATAGACAAAGTAGCTAGGCCAGTAGCCTAAGCAGTATACTGGGTGGCCCATATAAATTATTTTTTTCCAGCTTTTTTTCTTGTAGTTTTCATGTTAGAGGAGTGTAGAAAACCTCAAAGACAAAAAACATTCTTTAAAATCAATCCCCCCCACGTCAATTATATTGGTTTAAAGCTGGCAATTTTGTGACCAAATTCCATCAGACTTTTTTCAGAAGCACAGGAAGGTCGTGGGTTACTCATCCTTCCATGATTTGAATCCTTTGCTTATCTTAACATTTTTGTATCTGATAAATTTATAGGCAATTAATGAACTTCATTCAAAATCTAGCCAGTTTTTTAACGCCCTGCAGAGTGCATAACTGTAGTTAAATCCTTAAAATCTTATATCAAATGATGAATCGTTGTCGCATATCTTTCTTTTAGAGAAAGAAAAATATTACAGGTAGTCCTTTACTAACAATCATTCATGTAGTGACCATTCAAAGCTGCAATGGCACTGAAAAAAATGGCTTGTGACCATTTTTCACACTTACAATGGTTGCAGCATCCTAATGCTCACATAATCAAAATCCGGATACTTGGCAACTGGCCCATAGTTATGACGGCTGCAGTGTCCTGGGGTCATGTGATCAAGCAAAGTCAATGGGGAAGCAGATTTCACTTAACAACCATGTTACTAACTTAACAACTTCAGTGATTTGCTTAACTGTGGCAAGAAAGGTCATAAAGTGGGCCCAAACTCATTTAACAGCTATCTTACTTAGCAACGGAAATTTTGGTCTCAATTGTGGTCGTAAGTTGAGGAGTACCTGTAAGGCAATTTCTCCTTCCTTCCCCAAAACAATGAAAGGGAAAGGACTCAAACTTCTGTCCCTGTTCTCTCTGATAACATCAGCCACCTTTCTACACAGCAGCTGGGCGAAAAAGCGTTGTTGATTTTAAATAATGGCTCTAGCCACCTAAAGTTTTATTGGCGCTGGTATTGATTATATGGCATCAAGCCAGGGTCAGTTTTTAGCAACTACCTACATAGGTTTTCTCTAGGACAATATGTTCCCAACCTGGTATAAATGTACAAAAATCTCCAATTACATTTATCAAGATCTGTAGAGTTAAATTATGAAGGTTATTCAGTTTATGATATTTTAGCTGGCAAATAGCTTTATAGCATGGATGTAAAACTTGATGACATCACGTGATGTATCATGACTTATTGTGATGTTTTGTGCCTGTGAAGAGCTGGGGTGGACGTGGCCTGCAGGCTGCCAGTTTGATACCTTGCTTTATAGTGTTTGTTTCATTTTTTCCCTGATGCAATTTTTTTTAATTGAAATTTTGGGGAAAGGTGGGGGGAGTTGTTCTTATTCATTATACTATATAGAAGTAGCTGAATACTGCTTTTCTCAGTGCTACTTAGCGACAATATGTTTTGTATTGGTTGATGAGGATTTTTGTACAGCTTATTTTATTTGTGGCGAGGTATGGTTGTTGAAGTTTTAGTTTTGGTTCATGTGGGTGGGTTTCTGGGATACTTGGTTTTGCATTCTGCCGTTATACAGTGTAGTCATGAGGATGTCAAGAATGTTGTCTTTTCTCTATCGCTGGTGAATTTCATCCCTAGGCATGTTTTGTTAAAGTTTTGAAGAGTGATTTCAATTTGACTTTATTTTAGAATGACCAAGATGTCATTGGTACATTTGAATTCCTATAGTTATTGATCATATTCTTTTATGCCATCTGTACATCTTAGTCATAGTCATATTCTTTTTCCAGGAATAGTTTCTCATCTGAGAGATTTTGATGGGCCTTTTCAGCATCTTATCACATTGTAGTAAACCCAGCCCTCAGCCAATTTTCAGCTGCAGCTTGGACAATGAAGTCTTCTTTATGCTAGTCCACACTCTGTCTGATTTGTCTTTTAAACACAGACAGAAGGGAAGCATAGTGCTTAGTCATGCTGCTTATTCTTTCTGCAATCCACAGAGTATTGGAAAGAAATTATATTAAAGGGGTCAGAACTCTCTAAGTCAGCTTAGTAATAACTGAAATAGAGCAGGATCTATTTTGGTATGGAGGAATAAGTCAGCAAGGAGTTTGAAAATGAGATGGATCTAACCAGGGGCTGTAGAAAAAAAAAATGCCAGCACATCCTTACAAGAGAGGCATTGAACAGTGGCTCGGGATGCTTTCACTTAGAGACTTCTTTGTTTAACAACAAAACTGCCGATCCCAATTATGGACACTAAATGAGGACTTCCTGTATTATTAACAGCTTGGAAAGTCTAAGAAAGCCATCACAGCTAACATGGTCTGTTGACAGAAGCCATGTGGATATTTTGTGCATCACAATTGCATTGCACTGGTGATATGAATTATGTGATATAAAGACAACAACTAAGATATCTAATTTACATCATTTGCATGATGAAGTCATGACACATACTTATCACATATCCCCCTACACATATCACATATCCCCCTATGTCTACAAAGGGCCATCTTGTTGTTGAATTCACATTTTGTTCTTACTTTTATTATTTAGTCAAAAGCTTTAAATGTTATCTGATGTTGTTTCTCTATGTAGCAGTATGAAAACAAAGGCAACTTCTAGTCATCCAGACTCTGTCCTGAATTAAGAGATTACAGGGTTATAAAAAGGGAGTTTGTACAAGGAAGGTAAATAACAATTTTTATTTAAAAATAACAGCCATATAAATCTAATTTTGCAAATTTACTTGCATTAGAAAGCTTTCTGCTTCTGGAAAATTCTTGTAAGACTTCTAATATAACACCCTACTACTTGTAAATTGTAAAGGGAAATTTCTTAGTAGCATGAGAAAAACCATTATTTTATGTTTGTGTCAAATATGAGAAACTATGAGTGAAACAAGTGAGAAACTAACAGAATCATTTTTTTTACACCTTTGGCTGGTGGTGGTGGTGGGGGGAGAGAAACAGGGCTGTTTTATACCAGGTGGGATTATTTAACAATTGCCCCAGTGCAGCATTTGTTCTTAACAATATTTTCAACCCACAAGTTAACCTCCAACTCAGAACTCTTTACAATGATTCTGGCAATACATAGTTACATTAACTAGCAAGATTCATCTTCCAGAAACTAAAAAAAAATATCTACTCCCTTCTTTGTCTGCCTGTGCATCAACTCCTGACAACAGGCTGGAGAAGTTCCTGCAGTTTTCTTGGCAAGAAGTTGTTTGCCATTACCTCGGCTGAGAGAGATTAGATGGACCAAGAGTCACACAGCTGACTTTGTGCCTAGGTCAGAGCTATAATCCTGGTTTCTAGCCTGGTGCTTAACCAGTATGCCAAATTGGCTCTTAGTCTATCTACATAAATTTAAGAAAGAGTATTATCAATCCTTTCTGATAATTACTAATTCTTCCCCATTGACTAGAAAAGCAGAATAGATGTGGTTCCAGTACTATAATACATAAGTATATAGGAAATATATTTTGTGCGGCCAGCGAGTTCTATACTGGAGTAGCTTCCTTTTTAAGGCATTTGGGTTGTTTTTCTTTACCCCTTTTTCTTTGAGAACTAGATCTGCAAAACAGGTCAACTGAATGACTTTTGTGTTCCCATGAAATAACTTACTGAGTGGAGTTAGTTTAATATTGTATATAACTGAACCTGCTTGGATAAAATTTCACTGTCCCAGTTAAACATGCTAATTTCCTTGGTAATGATTCCTGCTGATTTTTCATTCCTACATAGACAAGGAATGTAAGTTACTTTTCATCATATTCTGGTTGATTTGGGAAGGAAGAGGCTCAACATAATTATTGTCTTGGGCAAACATCTGAAATGCTATAGTCACTTTTGCTGGTCAGAGGAGCTAACTGGAAGTGAATTAGACAGTGTACAGTTAGTCCTTGACTTCAGATCATTTGTTCAGCAACCATTTGAAGTTGTGGTGACACTGAATTAAGGGATAGCTAGTCCCCAAAGTGTATTTGTTTATTTATTAAACAAATTTATATAGCCTCACATACAGTGACCCTAGTTGGTGTACAACATTAAAAGTCCACAGTTAAAAATAATCCACAATTACAAACCCACCCCAGCCCCTACCCCATGGCAACAAAAGAATCAAAAGACAACTTGTTCAGCAGTGAATGGGATCCCCAGACCATCTAACAAAACCACGTCTTCAAGGCTTTGCAGAAAACCAATAAGGTGGGAGCTAATTTTTCTCTGGGGAAAATATTATTCAAAGGGAGGGAACCCCCATAGAGAAGGCCCTTTTCCTAGGTCCCACCAGCTGTACTTTCTTGATAGTTGGACACACAACATGTCCTGCCTTTCTTCTCCAGTGGATTGGGTAGATATAATTGGGGAGAGGTGGCCCATCAAATACAAGGTATGGTCATTGCAGTACCCCTGCAATCACAGGATCAAAATTCAGGCATGTAACAGCCCACCCACATTTGGACTGCAAGGG